CAATGAAAAATTAACTAGGTCATCGACATTGTAAAATCTACTCCACTATGACACTAGCTGATGTAGCACAATTACTAGTTGAAATGATGCATCTTCTTGTTGAGTCGGCGTGGCTCCTCGTGTTGATAATTGCTCCATCGTGGTGCTCCAAAAATTTTGAGAACTATGGCACTCAAATGAAGGATCCGACAGTGAGGCACTAAAAGGTACGGCACTGCGGCATTCATTTTTTCGATATCACGCCCAGCACTGTAATGATGAATATTGGCAAAATGTCACTATATTATGCAATGGCATTGATTATGGTTTCACTGCATCACTTGAAAATAGAGAAGATTGGTACTGCAACGTCGAAAATGGGTACCTTGACATGATCAAACTCGATGTTTCAACATGATATACTTGAGTGCCGTGACGCTACTAAACACTTGTACTTTTTATCATTTTTAAATATTTAACGTACAAGCATAACTAAAGCACATACATTTCATTGAAATTCTAACATAATAAATAATATACAATTTACACTTAATAATGCCTTATGTAAAATTCATAGAAAATGCATAAATATTCAAAATGGAAATCTTTGCAATATATTAAAAGTTTACATGATAAAAGTTTTGATGGTGTAAAGTTATCCTCATTGTTTATTATGAAAATATAAATTTAATTGGGAAATATCCAAAAAATATCGTATTTTGTAAAACTAAGATAGGTTAAATGTTGCATACCTCGAATTGGATAACTTTCAGAACTGGATCAAAAGAAAAAAAAAAACCAGAAGCAACCCAAAATAGACTTTCTCTCTCTAAACTCCTCTCTATCTAATGTTGGCTATTAAGGAAGAAAATGAAATGGGTGAATATTGGAAAGATATAATTTTTATTAATAAAAAATACACTGGGGACGCTACACCCCACAATGTTGGCCACTACACTCTTTTAAAGGATACATGGTCCTGCCGCACCTGTCACGCACTGAATCACATAATTAAAGTGCTAAAAACTCAAGAGCTTTGGTGTCTCAGTGCCACAACACCCCAAGGGAAAACTTCAAAGTTATTAAACATACAAATAGACCCTTTTGACCCACTTCATAACACATGAAGACTCTGACATGCACCCAATATATTCTCAGACATATGCAAAAGGATTTAAATGCAGAATTTTAATAACTTATCTTAGTTAGATCAGATTGAAATAGGTTGAATTGAATACTGAAGCTCGAGGTATTACAACTCTCCCTCCTTAGAAAAATGCCATCATCTATATTTCAAAACTCGGTCCATCACGATATATAAGGACAAAATTTTCTCATCTCATATTCCTTTTCCTAAGTAGCATATCTTTCAATTATATTTTTCCACTGAGCTTTAATACGCTAATATTCATTTACTATGTTTATAACAATAATGTAATCATATTAAAATATCAAAATCACTATTATTAAGTAATCATACAAAATGTAATAACTACACTTTTAATAAATGAAATTATAAAATTAATCAAACAAAATGTTCAGAATAATCAATACTATAATATAAAAAAAGTTATATATTGGAAGTTCATGAAAGCAAGAGAAAATATCATAATAATCATTTTGGGAGGAATCAAACGGTAAAAATATTTCAAAATATAAATAAAATAAGAGTCACTAACATTGATCTAATTTTTTTTTAAAGAAACAAAGCAAATCGGTGGTCAAAACCCACCCCACTCTTTCCTCTCTCCTACTTTTTCCCGTTGTCTGCATAAGAGAGTGAGGGAGCTGAATAGATAGAAAGAAATATATAAAAACTCATTTCAATGCTCACTGACACGGCACCACGACCCAGCATCACTGTTATGATGCATGCTTAACTAGAATTATTGTAGAATGGAGCTTTTAATATATGGGGTGTCAAAATCGAATTTCGGGTCGGGTTCAGATCGAACTCAGAACTGACTCGGCTTTAAACAGCTTGATCCAAACCTAAACCAATTTTGCAAATAGATCGAAAACACAAAACCAAATTGACTTGACGGGTTACCAGGTTGACCCGAACCGACACATTTTTAATGTTTTATTAACCCGGGATAGCATCGATGGCAGCAGGCGGGACAACAGGGATTAGGTTGATGACAACTGTTAGAATAATAGGATGGGGGGCTTACATTGATGGTAGTAGGCGGCACGACATGGCTCACATCAATGGCAATAGGCAAGGCCAGCGTGGGATGACGCTCTCAACGGCATGACTTGTTGGACGGCAGACACAACGGGCAGATGAGTGATGAACGCACACGGATGAGATGGTAGGCTAATGAGTGATGAAAGCACATGACTGAGTCCTCAATAGCACGGGAAGAAACTAGGATGGACTCAACTTTCGAGTCAGTGTTGGGTTGATTTTAGGTTTCCGGGTCAACCCGAACCCAAAATTTTTCTGGTCGGGTTTCGGGTTATGTCAAAAATTGACACCCTAGCTCTGGTTATTGTTTATTAAAAGATAAGAATAATTCTTCTAATTTAGATTCTTGGGCATCACAGTTAGAGTGTGGAGATTTTAACGATTAAATTGAGGAAAATGACTTTTGATATATCATCAAAAAATTATCTTGATCAGACACGAAACTCGAAGCAAAATAAGATTAGAAGCTTCAAAAATTAAATATGGGACCATCTAAACTTCAATTTCAGCAAAGTTACAGTCGAACTGAGTGTCTCAGAAATATAAACTCAATGACACTAAATTCAACTCAATCCTAGCCCAAGCTAGTCCAAATCAAAGACCCGAAGCGCATTTTTGAAGTTTTAATCCATAATTTGGATTACCAAATAGTTTCCAAATATGGCATGCTTATAGTCGAATCGAGCATCTCGACGAGGCAAATCCAACAAGTCTAAGATCATTGAATTTTGATATCATTAGAGGCTTTAAATGTCTGATAAACAGTCCACAATCAAGTGATTCAACATCGACCATCCATTCAAATCACTTTCAACTTACCCTTGATCTTCCTCCTATTTATTGGTTATGCCACTATCAGAAAATTATAAATAGCCCCTCATTTCTCTTAAGAGGGGACCCAAGCAAGAAGAGAAGGTAAAAAGAGAAGAGAAAGAAGAAAGAGAAGGAAGAAGCTCCTCCTCGACCACTGCCAGAGTTCCGCCCGACCTTCAAGACGTCGGAGTTCCGCTTGACCTTCAAGTGACTCTGGAGTTTCGTCTGAACTCCAAGTGAAGGCGGAGTTCCCTCGACCTCCAAGTGACGCCGGAGTTCCGCCCGATCTCCAAGTGACGCCGGAGTTCCTCCCGACTTCCAAGTGACGCTAAGACTATATGACCACCAACGCATACCATTTTTCTATCTGATCGCCAACTGATGCCAGCATTTTGATATTCGTTTGCAACTGAATTTCAACTCGAGAGTTGCTTATTGTAATCTGATCATCCTAAATTTTAAGGACAAGTTAGCCTCTTATAACTTAAGCAAACACTAGTGGGATTCTTTCAAATGAGTGTGACCTCGTGATTTTTCCCTTTCTAAGGTTTTCCACGTAAAAATCCTGGTGCCTTATTTCTCTTATGTTTGTATGCTGGATATCCATACAACGCTGAGACAAAAAATTCCAACTCTATCGTCGCGTATATTCTAGCCCGCATCAATTCTTAAAATATTTTGAAGGTTGTCTAAAAAAAAAGCTACGATAAATCAACATATTTGCATCTTAATATTCATATCTTCTAGAGCAATAAAATACCAAAAAATATCTCATAAAAATGATAATTATAGAGATTGCATGAATTGAGAGAATTTAAGATCTAATCAAATGAATCATGCAAATACATACTCTTGATGCTTAATCATAACCCAAGTTTAAATTGCTCATGCAGTCTTATTAATTAGGGACCATTGCCTCCCAACAAAGCAACAAGGTGGGGCATGCACAAGTTGTGAATAAGGAGTAGGTTGGTTTTCCCCTAAATCTATTATAGTTAATTTAACCAATTTGAGCTTAAAAACACTTAAATGTGTATGATTTTATGCTTCAGAATATTCATTATGAGATGCCTATAAATTTGCAACATTTGATGCATATTAATGAAGTTTTGAAGTAATCACTTTAGCTTCTTAAGTATAATGAGATCCCTAATTCATTTAAAAAAGAATACTTTATTATACTAAATTATATAATCCCAATAATAAAAATAAATAAATAATGAAAATGAGCTATTAAAACATATTTATGAGTTTGTTAGAAATAATTTATGTAAATTCAATATATATTTATTATTAAAATTCCATCACTAAAGCACCCTTCCAAAACTAAATTCACTTGAAAAAAATAAAATCAAAACAAATAGGCGCTTCTTAATGAATAATTATTAGGTCCAGATACCGAATGTAGCTCTACATCCGGAGGTCAATAACATGTCGCAACGTGTTCTTACTTTTTTACTGTGCGGCCCGACGACTCGACCCAAACCGGAACCCGATATTGCTATGTTTGGGTATTGCTCGGTATTGCTAGGTATTGTTTGGCAATAACGAGAAATACCGCTCTGTCAAAACCAATACCTAGCAATATAGAGCAATATCGAGCAATACCGAGCAACATCTAACAAAACCGGGGTATTGCTTGGTATTGCTAAGTATTGGTCTTGACATAATAGTATTTCTCGTTATTGCCGAGCAATATCGAGCAATACCTAGCAATACCCCGATCTGCACAAATCAGCCAGTAGATAGCAATATTGAGTCCGGTCCGAGTCAGGTTGTCGGGCCGTGCGGTAAAGAGTAAGAGCACGTGACACTATTTTACTAGCATCCGAACGTAGAACTACATGAGGACACCAGACCTAATAAAAATTCATTCTTAACACCTAAGACCTAGCCAACATATGAGCGCCCTCGGTCCTAACGGAGCCGATAAAAGCCAGGGACAAAAGTCAATCCACGTCGCCGTTTCTTTTGAAACCCTTTCCCGCCCAGACCCCTCTGGTCAAATGAGTGCTCAAGAACAAAATGGAACTCCTGGTCTGTCAGTGGAATGCACAATGAAGCCTCCAAGGAGTGAAATCAGAAGAGAGAGCAATTGTGATGCGCACGAAGAACTTTCTGGAACCACTGAAAAGCAGGAAAAAATGGCAGAAGATCATCGTCTTGCCCGACAGATTGCCGAAATCCTGGACGAATGCCGGCTTTCCCACGCCGTCCATACACGAAAGCTGAAGGAGCTCACTGCGATCCGCTCCACCGTCCCTAGTGACCGCTTCTTTCCCTCCTTCGCACGGGCTATCAGACCCCTCTTTGATCTCTCCCGGCGGACGCCTTCATCAGAGCGTGCCGTACGTTTCGTCGCCGCCTTCGCTGCCCGTCGGGACGGAAAGAACGCCTTTTTATTTTTATCGGACGATTTGCTGTTTGGATTTTATGCGTTTTGCCTCATATTTGTTGGAGTTCTAGGCCTTCCATTTTCATTTCTCACGTTTATTGTCTCGATGGCCTTTAGGGCCTCTCCATCCGAAAAAACTCATTTTCACTTCAAAATTCAAAATGCAGTAAGAGTCATTCCAACCGAACTTCATTTCTTTTAACACTCAAAAATAATTTAAAATGAAGAATCAAATTTAAATAAATTAATTACATATAAAATATATATCAAAATTAAAGAATTAAGAACATAAGTTAAAGTAATATATTTAGAAACAAAATTTAATAATTTTAGAATAATTTTTTGATTAAAAAAAAAGAGTTCGTGACCCTGAAATTTGAGTTCTGGTGGAGTTGGCGGCGGACGGCAAATACTTTTTCACCTTCGGTTAGAGATGGCCTGGACCTATTCGGCTGCTTGATTCTCTCCTATCAGTGTTTGGCTATATCGTCATCCCCAAGTTCATAACTAAGAGTTTGATAGATTAATATATCAAAGAGATGCTCAAGGTAGGGATCATTTGGCCTAATGTTAGTCCAATGTTGCTTTCAATCCAATGCTTCAACAATAGTTTCCTTAGTTCCATCGTAAGGACAAGGTGGCTCTTTGGGAGGGGAGTATTGATAGATCGGCAATTGAGCCGGTGGGCCCCACTAGGGTGGGCGACGAGCAAGAAGAGAGGGGGAATTATTTAGGAAAATTTTGATTACAATTGGAAGGGAATTAATTAGGGAAAGAAATTTAAGTTGAATTTCAAACTGAGAGAGAATTATTTAGGAAAAGCCCCGAGGAGTTAATATTTATTATATAAGAAGGAATCAAGGAGGAATATATATATATATATATAATTAAATAGAAGGCTAGGATTGCATTTGAATATATATATATATATATATATATAATTAAATAGAAGGCTAGGATTGCATTTGAATGAAATCTCAAGTCACTTTTATATAGTAGTATAGATGTATGCAAAAAATTCAAGAATGACAATAAGAATGTGGCCGATGCCCAATTAAATTGCTACTTTACAAGGTGAATTGAATAGTTCGAATTTATAATGCTCAGGGAAATGTGAAATATCCTTAAATAGCAAACCATTACCTTTATATGCCTTTTTATTTCCCTCTGCGTCATATAACATTATAACATATTTTCTTGATTACCTTTTTAGTATGAAAAGTGTTCTCGCTGCGTTCAAATTCAGTTATTTTGTCATCCTCTTTTCAATGATTAATACATTTTATATGCTTCTTTTGTAGATTATTATGCGTCTACCAGATGATGCAGAGGTGAGTGACGAAGTGTGGGATGAAGTCATAGAAAGCATGAAGCATCGATTGGACGACAAAGTGTCAACCATCCGTGGCTTTGCAGTATGCGCATTGTCACGCTTTGCAAGTGATACAGAGAATTCAAACATCGTTGAGCTCTTCCTGAGGAACTTGTCTCAGGAGCAAAATGCTGTAGGTTTTTTTGTTCCTTTTTCCAACCTAATAATTTTGGCTTGTGTTGAAATATTAATTATTTTGCTTATGTAGGATGTTCGGAAAATGATTGTCCTATCGCTGCCACCTTGTAATACTACATCTTCTTCAGTTGTTGAATCTACTCTTGATGTTAGTGAGTCAGTTAGAAAGGCCGCGTACTTCGTATTGGGAAGTAAATTTCCACTTCAAAGTCTTAGGTAAGGCTATGCTTCAAGCATAATAGATATTATTCATTTAGTTTACTCATTAGCATATCTGGGACTGCCCCGCTTTTGCTATAACTGGAAAAGAAAGTGATACAGTTCTGACAAAATGTAGTTATACTTTCTGACATCATTTATTGAATTTCATCTTCACTTGAAAACAAGCATCAAGCTTAGAACTGCTGTTCTCCAGAGGGGCCTTTCTGATAGGTCTCCACTAGTCATGAAAGAATGCTTTAAGATGTTGAAAGAAGAGTGGTTGACAAAGTGCTGCAATCAGGATCCTCTTGTTCTCTTGAGATATCTTGATGTGGAAACCTATGAGTCAGTTGGAGAAGCAGTGATGGATGCACTTCTAAAAGATGGCATGGTGCACCTTAAGGAAGGTCAGAGTATCAGACAGTATTTGTGTAAATCAGAGGGAAGTGAAGGTAACCTTAATGGATATGGACGCCATGCAAGCTACATGTTTAATTTTAGATATTTAGTTGTTCTTGGAATTTATCTTTTATATTTGTATTGCTTGATTAATTATTTATCATTGGGATTATCAGGATTCTAATTTTATATTTCTAATCAGGAATATAGGACGAATAGCCCTTGCTTTTGCATCCAGTAGATATTTGCATGTAACTCCACAGTCGCTGAGAAATTTTATGTGCTTGTCTGACAACAACCAACAGAGAATCTACCAACAAACTGCCAAGCTAATAACAACTAGAAAACGAAAACGAACCAAACTAACAACTTGAAATTCATAGAACCAAACCGAAGTCATGTCCAATGTAGTAAAATAAACTGTAAAATTTAAATCCAAAAACTGCTAAACTAAAATAAACTAAAATACAATATTTATTATGTTAAATTGCTCAACTTAATGCACATATCTTGTTTTTGTGATGAGTATAAACTTTGACATTTGCAATTATGACGTTTAAGGCTTTGACATTTGCGATTATGGCGTTTAAGGCTTTGACATTGTTAGCGACAAAACAAAGGGAGAAGAGAGAGAGCCAACTCTTCAAATTTTTGTTCAATAATCAAGGCCATTTTACTATGTGACCCTTAGACCTCATTGTATAATAGATTTTCCTTATTTGAAATTATCTTCCAAAATGACTTATGGAGGGTAAAACAATAAAGATGATTTAACATAAACAATGAAATTACACTTGCACTAGAAGGCGTAAACTATGACGTGAACAAGGGCATGAAATTCATATTTTTCTTCCATCCTCTGCCCTTGCAGATTGAATCATCCGTTCAGCAACAAAAACAACAACAAGCCTTTATCCAACTAGGTGAGATCGGCTGTATAAATATTTTTTCTCCATGGTGTCATAAATAAATCTTTTTAGTCTTCAATATAATATTAAAAAGTTTAGTAAGCCAAAAAATTCTTTGATCTCCTAAGCATTTTCACATTTCTATTGACATATTATCAGACCCTACTACTTTTTCAAACTTCATTTTCTTTAAAGCCTCTTCTGCTTCGATTTTACATTTGCGGTGATAAAAATAAAATAAATTTATTTTCATTTAGGGTATTAAGGTCATTAAAGTTAATAAAAAAATTATTGAAATATCTCATCCACCTATGTTGAAATTCTTTTATAAGAAAATCACTTTTTGATCTTCATCCTTAGTGCATTTCACTTAAATTAAATTTTTACTTCTCTTATATCTTTGCTAAGCTAACTTATATATACATCTTTCAACCTCCTTAGTATTTAATCTATTATATAAATCAATAAAAATAAATTTTTTTACATCACATTATTTCTTAGAATCCTTATAGGCCCTCTATATCTTTCTCAATTTTTAAAACTTTTACATTTAAACTAATATTTATAACAGAGCTTCTTATATTTAATATTTTCTTGTATATTTTGATTCCATTACAATTTATTTTTACTATTACATTTTTTTTCTTTTGACTCTTGATTCTTCAAACACATATTTTGCGACATTCTTAATATCATTAGTTATTTTTTCTTACATAATATTAATATCCTCATGAACAACTCAAAATTTAAAGTCTTGGATCTTATTCTTAAAGATATTTTTATTATCAAATTTTGAATTCCCCCTATCTAATATTAAGATAAATTTTTATTTTATTTTTCATTTTTTCACTGCATCTTATAGTCCAATACTAATAAGCGATGTTGGATGCATAAAGTTTCACTTGGAATAACTTTATAATCATTACAATTTAAACGATCTATTTTTTATAAGAAAATAATCAATTTGAGTTTGATTACGTCCAGTGATATGATTATCCTATCTTTTCATAAATAAAGTATTATCAATTATAAAATTATAAGCTAGAGTAAAGTCTAATATGATTTTAACATCTTCATTAGTCTTTTCAACTCATAGCTATCATGAATGTTTTTAAAATCTTCTATCAATTTACTAATATGTTTATTTAGATCTACTCCAATAAAAATTCTTTCTTCAAGAAGTATCTTTTATATTAATTTTAAGTAATTCTAAAATTTTATTCTTGAACACGTATATATGAAGAGCATAACATTTATAATATTAACAATCTTGGCATCAACAATAATATTTTAAGTTATAATTCTATCTTTATTCTTATTAATTTCGACAACATTATCCTTCAAAGTTTTATTTATAATCACACTTATATCATTTATAGTTTGACACTTTGACTGCTACAAAAATATTAAAGTTTAAATCCCAAAATATCACAACCTCCTTAGCTGTTTTTAATCTATTTAATTTCCTGAATACATAGAAGATTTATCTTCCTATGAATCACAATATTTATTAATTCCATTAGTTTGCTTGTAAGTGTAGTTATATCCTATATTCCTATCATAATTCTAATTTCTTGAACTAATTTTTTGCAAACATCCGTACATGATGTGGGAGTCCTTATTTATATAACATACACCCGGACGTTTGTGCAGCGGCCTTGCACGCTTTTTGCTATATTTAGGCCATATAGTGTGTCACTTGCAGAGAACGCACTAACATTAACACAATGTTTTAAAAGATTAATGGTACGAATGTTTGACAAGTTTATGCTAGTTATTGACTACCAAACGCAACCCTCCACTTTTCTCATATGGGGCTTGGAACCTGACAATGATAGTGTTTTGATTGAATCATCCGTATATGAAAAAAAAGGTCTATGTGTGATGCTCTAAGATCTAATTTGTAAGAATTGCCTTTTTTTAAATCTACCAATCAAATGCCAGAGTCATTAATAATGTCCATATATAAAATAAATAAATACAATGGAAACAATTTTCTTCATTTATCAACAATATACACACACACACATATATTTCATATCCCAAAAGAACTATATACAATAGCCATAAATATAATTTATCATATCAGTCTATACTTATAATATATTCACGACTACAAAAATAGACAACATAAATAAATACCTCAACCAACAACTCTGGACCAGTGCCACTCCGCTAGATCTTTACCCTCCCTAAAATCATATAAACAAATGATTAATTAGCAGCTCGATAGGTTACCAGGACTTAAAATTGCTATCAATGCTTGACAATAGAAATAATACGCAGTTAATGATTCAATCCAAATCAGTTTGAACAACAACATTCACTATAAGCAGTTGTAATTAATGCAACCAGGCACAATAATTAAATAGTGTAAATCAATGTTATTATCATAGAAGGATTAGTAACTCTGTCATTTCTATATCAATGTTATTTACAACATAAGGTGAAACTATGAATCTATGCATGTATATTAGAATAGAAGTCTATATGTCAGATTAGTATAGTTATCATGTCTATTAGTTGGAATGAATCATGCTTTTTATTTCTATCAATTATCAATACAGCTTAAGGTTATAGATGTAATTTTTATGCTATAATGTATGTCAATATATTTATCATACTATCATATATATTTTATCAATAAGTCAATCTCTATGCTTGTCATATTGTATCTTTGTATATGCATCATATATCATGTATATCATGCATTTTATACTAGTCTTATCATATAATTGTATCAGTCTTATCTTATATCATGTTCATGTATCAATCATATTATATTACTTATGTTATTATTATGTCATGTCATGTCCTATCAATTCATATGTAATTAAATTATATGCATATGTTATGTATTAACCATCAAGGTATGACATTTGCCTATTAATATAGTGTTTTTTCCTATATCAAGGTCTATAGGTTATTCAGACTAAACATTAATTAATCTCATCAATTGTATCCATTCTATAAATAGAAATTAGTCATATTAAACACAAGTCAGGTGGCTTCATGCAAAAGTCATTACTTTTATCTGTCGGTGTATCATATCAATCAATCTCTTTATACCTTTCATCATATCACTTAGGATTACATCACAAACCTTATTTAAATGAAAGTGTGTCAGTTCGCCTTTCTGAGCAAGGCAACATGTCTTCGACTAATCTGAATCAGTCAACTATTTTAATCTAGCCTTTTTTGCTTACGCACATATGCTAAATCACGCGTATAATAATAATAATTGTCACATGTCATGCACATATTCAATGCAAGTAACATAGCATGTAAATTTATGCAGTGTGCTTATCAGTATACACATATCATGTCAAAAAACAAGCCATGTAGACAAACATTAACTTTATGCATGTTAGATTTTTAATGTCTAGATTTTAATATATTAATTTCTGCTCATTTTATACAAGCTTTTATCCTATTCATTTCATACCAAATAGCTTATATGCAAAACTAATTAGTGAAATCTCAATATGATCATGTCAAAATGCCCAGAATAATAATGCCTATTATATATGAAAAGTTATACGGTGAAAATCATTTGAATTACGAGATAATTTTATTGAATTTGAGAGAGAGAAAATCATAGAAAATAAAACCACTGAAAACAACCATATGATAAATGTTACCTATCATATTTAGAGCAACTTTCGTAAATAGAGTGACGAAAAATATTGCCCGATCACTTCTTTTTCTCTCCTCTCTCCCCTTCTCACCCAACCATGCATGCAAATGAGGAAGGAATGGGTGAGGTGAGGGATTTTTAAACAATGGTTTTGAATATTTTGTCAAATTTTTTTTTTAGTGATCTAGCCCAGACCTCAACATTGCAACACTCTCAAGAAGAGATCCCAACTTCGTTGTGCCAATTAGTCTGCACTGCCCATTCCAAAACTTTCATATAGAGAGGGCAATGCCGCTGCGCTCGATAGCACAATATTGTAATGCTCCCAATAAAAAGATTTGAAATATGAGAAATTCAATTTGGTTCATTAATAAGTCATTAATGAATTTTTAATCATGTAAAAATTAGGGCTATTACAATATGTTTGCTATATTTTCTTTCATGTCCTTTAGTATACCTTGCATACCCAATCCAAACCTTCTTTTAGTTGGAGACATACTTTATTGAGAACTTTGCACATGATTTTGTTTGTGTGATGAAGTATATTTTAACTTGCTAATATTTGGAGCCCTAGGCCAATAGTTGGCCAATTTATGGCCGAAAAAATTGGGGTCGGGATATTAACCTAAATTTGGTCATGATAATCTGTGTTATATTTTTTGAGATAAGTGTAATAAATATTTTGATTGTTTATTCATGTATCGTACTCATCTCAAAGTAAATCCAATCATTTTGTGATCCATCATATTTATTTATTTTTTCTTTTGAGCTCTCATTAGCTTCTAAATGCACTTAAATTTATTCTGAGCTCAATCACTTGTCAATCTAAATAACTTCATTTGATTGGCAGTGTTTCGATTAATTGTAAAAAATAGGTCTAATATTTATGGTATCACCTAAATTGGAATGAATAAAGAATAATGATCCATAAAGCCAACCTTAAATAGTATAATGAATTGATTTTTATTTGAGTTATTTTTCTTTTTTGACAGTTCATAAAGGATTATGTGCTATCGTTTGTGTGTAGTTTCAATAACATCTCTCTCTCTCTCTCTCTCAATCCGTTCTCTTTTTTTTTTTTTTTTTGACATGCTTGGCAGGGAATTGCACTTCTGGCATTCAGCTAACGGAGGCAGAGGCTTCACTTTACTGGAGGACTCTATGTAGGCATTTGCAAAATGAGGCTCAAGTATGAATAACAGTTTCTCTTCATTCAGATGTCATTACAATTATTTGAAATTTCCTTTTTTTTTTTGTAAATTTTGGTTAGATGCATTTACCTTTGCATCTGCTATGTCTTTACGGTTTGCGCTCATGTTAACCATGATGCATGAACATCTTTGAATTTGACTGCATTCGAGAAGGAAGTGATATACTGGCTGTTAACATGTTCACATATGTTGTTTCTATATAGCTATGTTTGTGCAAACTATCCTAGTGGAAGGGAGAAGCGTTTGTGCCTGTACTTTTGCTTGGAATGGTAGAGAGAAGGTGCTGAGGAAAGGGAGTTCTTTACAAACGTCTTCTTAACAAATGCATATGGGTGTTTTCTGAGAAATCTGTCAAAATCTGAGCTCAGTTGGAAAAAAAAAAAAACACAAATTTATAATCGTTGATGTTAAACATTTTCCTGACACCTCACAATCGGAAGCTTATATATAAACCTGTGGGCTTCAAAGGACACTTGTGGCGTTGCAGTAGAGGATTGATTATAGTGAATCAATGGATTCTATAGCCTTACGAGTATCAGTGGAAGACATATTAAGTATATCGGCTCAGAGATTTTCTTTACAAGACATGTCACTCCAATCAATGTTTAATCTAATGATGGGGATACAGTTTCTCAAAAGAGCAAGCACCTAAGGTTAATTACACCCCAGATATGTTTGAGATTACTCTCGGTTAAGGAGTCAATAATTGTATTGAAATCATGTAGGATCAATGTATGTTTAGTTAGGTCAAAGTTGGAATGGATCGTATAAGGTTAAATCATTAAGGGTGGAATGTCCTAGGAATAAAAAAAAGCTGACTCAGAAATACTTTAACTGACGTCAAAAGAAGGATTTATAATTTCACATAAGCTGCAGAGAGTACAGAGATGCTCAATCAGATGCACAATGCCATATGGCAGCACCCATATTGGAGGCACGAATGAGCAACAACAACAACAACAACAACAACATCAAGCCTTTATTCCACTACATGGGGTCGGCTACATGAATCATTTTTCTCCATTGTGTCCTATTAAAAGTCAAATTCTCGTTTAAATCTAATAAAGAAAGGTCATTCCTAATATTTTCTAACCAAGTCTTTTTAGGTCTACCCCTACCTTTCTTAACACAAGTCAAATCTAATACCTCTACTCTCCTAATCGGGCCATCGAAAGGCCGCCTTTTTATGTGACCAAACCATCTAAGGCGACTCTCTCTAATCTTATCTTCTACTGGAACTACTCCAACCTTTTCACGTATATGCTCATTTCGTATCCTATCTCTAAGGGTAAAGCCACTCATCCACCTGAGCATCCTCATCTCTGCCACACTTAACTTAGTATTATGCTTCTCTTTTAATGGCCAACATTCGGCACCATAAAGCATTGCAGGCCTCACTACCATCTTATAGAATTTTCCCTTAAGTTTAGGGGTACATTTCTATCACATAACAAGCCCGATGCATTCCTTCACTTCAACCATCCAACTTGAATTCTGCTGATAATATCCCCATCTATTTCACCATCACTCTGAACAATAGATCCAATATATCTAAAACGTGTACTCTTATTAATGACTTGATCGTCCAAAGTTACAATCTCCTCACTAGGTCTATTACTACTAAAATTACACTTCATATATTCCGTTTTAGATCTACTCAAGCGAAAACCTGTAGACTCTAAGGTTGACCTCCATAATTCAAGTTTACCTTCAACTCCCTCTCTAGTCTTAATCAGGCCATATAGTGTGTCGCTTCCAAGAGGCAGGAATGAGCAAATGTATGAAAATGAAGACTGACTTATTTACAACTTGATCGTGTATTATCAAGAAAGATCAGATGCCCTCTCAATATGGCTGATAAGATATCAAAGAATGCGCTGGAGGTCTCAATTATCTCGTCAAGGTGGTAAAAAGACGTATAGAGAATGGAGGAATGATGTAAATGATGAGACTTATAACTTGATTGTATGTGACCTCGATATGATAGAGGAGATACAAAGAATAGAGTTGAATGATGGAAATGATTAAAATTATAGATTGATTGTGTGGTATTAATCAAGTCCGAACATGTATTCAATGTGTTAGAAGAGTTAATGAAATGAGACTTACAACTTGGTCATATGTGGCCAAGAAAGCCTTACTATTTTCTTAATGTGGTAAAGAAAATAGAAGCTTGAACTTACATCCTGCCTAAGTCAGCAATGTCGAAGTCGCATGTGAAAATGTAGGGTAAGTCATTCCTAGAGGAAGAAGAGGAGATTGACTCATCCTAAACTGACCAAATGAAGAAAAGGCTTATGTGTAGAGTTTATGTCAAGTTATATATCGTAGAGTGCATATATCCTAGACTATACGCAAACTCATGAGAACATGCCATGATGGGCATTAATAAGGATAGATGCCGACATGATATATGTGTATGTCATCTATTTATGTCCAATATGATGAGCATATATGCTCAATCGCTGCTCTTATCAGAATTATAGATTAGATATGTTTTATTTTATATTTTCTTGCCAACAATTGAGCAGTGTGTAAGTTTATAACCCTAATTATCTCTACCGTCGTTAGCCCAGGTTATGTGAATGTATCACATAGTAATCTATGTGAAACAGTGCGGCTAGTGGTGGAGTAATGGAAACATACATAAAAGTGTCAATCCCAATTTGTTATATTTCTTAACTTTCAATGCTGGGAAATAGATGTTAGTGACAACGTAAAGATATATAACTTTGTAGTTTATACAAAATAGAACATGTCGTGCTTTACATTGCAGGATCAGCACTCCTATCTTGTTTTATCCTTGTATATGCATGAGAAATTTCTTAATTGTACTCACGAAGTTAACAAGGGCTATCATGTTTTCGTATGCTTTGCTAATTAAATCTACTCTGAAGTTTGAACCAGCTCTTCTAGGATGTATTTATTCCTCTTATGTTTGAACCAGACTTGGATCACCTTACCACCTTGATACATCTCATCATAAAAACTTCAATCTTTTAGTGAAATTATGATCCTTTGCATTAAGTTACTTGTGTTTATCCTCTTTTATAAAGTCTTCTTGGAATACAGGTCAAAGGCTCCGATGCTGCAAATACTACTGGCACTGAAGCAGTTGTTTATGCATCAGAAGCTTCAGAAAAGAATGATCTTCTAGAGACTGTCCTTCCCGAGATAGTATCTGATTATGTTGATTTGGTGAGAGCTCACCTTTTGGCAGGTGAGATCTAGTCCACGAGGAAAGTAATACTTTCTATTTATTTGATTTAGTCATTTTTTGGGCCATATGAATTTTAAAGTGCCAGTTTGCTTATGGTTTTATCTCGTTCTATGATGAAATTATGTGTTTAAATTTTCAGGATCAACATATCGCTTTGTTTCCAGGCAGTTACTATTATTGGGTGCAATGCTTGATTTTTCAGACAGCACAAACAGGAAGGTTGCTAGTTCTTTTGTGCAGGAACTTCTACTCAGGCCTCTTGAGTGTGATGTTGATGACGATGGGAACAAGATTGTCATGGGTGATGGAGTTAGTTTGGGTGGAGATAGACACTGGTCAAGTGCAGTCGCTGAACTGGCAAGAAAAGTTTATGCTGCTGCAGGAGAGTTTGAAGCTTCTGTTAGTAGTGTTTTGAAGGAGCTTATTCAGCCTTGCCGAGAGAGAACTGCAGATTTTATGCAGTGGATGCATTGCTTAGCAGTAGCTGCACTCCTTCTAGAGAATATTGAATCTCTACGGTCTCTACAAGGGAAAACCATTGAACCTTCTGAACTGTTGCATTCTTTATTGCTCCCTGGGGTTAGTGTGCTCTACACCTTTTACTAATTTTCTTCGTATCCCGAATTATATTTTACCAGAAAATGATATCTTCTTCTGGTTCCTTTTCGGTGATTTTTCTTTTTCCATAATATTCTCAATCTCATGGAGCAACAGGCAAAACAAGCACACCTTGATGTACAAAGGGCCTCTACAAGATGCCTGTGTCTGTTTGGACTCCTAGAGAGAAGACCAAGCGGAGAAATAGTCAAGCAACTGAGGCTGCTCCTCATCGATGGCCCTCCTCCAGTTAGTGTGATGGCCTGTATGGCACTGGTTGATCTCATCACATGGCATGGTCCTGCAGAACTCGATAGAGCTATATATCTGGATCCTGAACATTCAATGTCTGATACAACTACCCATAGTACAGTGGATTCCTTCAATATGGAGAATTCTGGTAGCACCGGAGTGATTAATCTCTTGCACGCTGCAATGGAAAAAGATATTAGCTGCGAAACAAATCAGTCAGATTATGAGGAAAATCTCCATTCTATTCTCGGGGAAGGTTTTGCAAAGTTTCTCCTTTGGAGTGCGAAATATCCCAGCATTCCTATCTGCTCCCATCATTTGTTCTTACGCAGGTTGATTATCCTTTATTTCAGTGATGAAACCAAGGAGATGCAAAGGTTTAATTTCCATTCCTTGCATTTTTTCCCATTCTTTACCTTTCTGGAATTCAATTTCGATTCTTTATACACACAGGTTAACTCAATGCTTGTCTGTATTCTTCGAGCATTATCCAGCGCTCGAGCCCCTTCATAAGGCAAGCTTTATGAAATAGTATAGATCATATTTGAAGTTTTTATTACTGTTCTCTTTCCAATTGAAACTTCTTATTTTTCTTGTTTTAACAATAGGGGTGCGTTTCCAAAGTTTTTATTCCTGTGATGCGATCAATGTGGCCTGGTGTTTATGGTAATCCAGGAGGTTCTTCTACTATGGTGTTCAAAAAGAGAAAGCTTGCAGTTCAAGCTTCACGATTCATGCTGCAAATGATGCAGATGCCTCTGTTTTCCAAGGAACTTGAGGATGAACATTCCTTCCATTCAGCGGAGCCAAAACTTGGAATTGATTGCAGAGAAGGTGGCCTGGGAATTCGCATTGCTGCAGAGGTAATTGATTCCACTTATTATGCCCAGTTTGAATCGAGTTTTTGATCGTTTCCTGTTGAAAGCACAAAAAAAACCAAAAGTTTTTACTGGTGGAGCAGAATCAAGATCGATGAAGTTTAATGAGTTATATTTGGTTTGAATCGAGATTGGATTCAGCGAAATTTTAACTAGATTTGACTCGGCTCGAGATTGGATCAAATGATTTTAGCTGATCTTGAGCTGGAGCTCGACAGTAGGGGTGTAAGTGAGCCTAGCCAGCTCGCGAGCTGGTTTGAGTTTGACTCGTTTATGAGTTCGGGGGGGGGGGAGCCGAGCTTATCGAGCTGACGAGTCGAGCTCGAGCTCAGCTCGATAAGCTCGAACTCAAGCTAGTTTCGTAAACAAGCTCAAGTTCGAGTTTGATGAGGCTCGGCTCATGAGCTCGCGAGCCGACTCGTATAAATTTTAAATTTTTTAAAATTAATTAATTATTATTTTTTCTTACATTTAAATTTTAAAAAAAATGGCTGTAGCCAGTTTAAAAAAAAAGCTGCATAGAATAGTTCCCCAAAACAAAGTCATTAAATATTTTAATATATTCTCAAAACTCTTGCGGTCAAAAAACACGAGATCTTTCTTTTATCTATAGGAAAAAGCAAGCAACGAACATCTAAGAGCTGTGCGGATGAGCGCCCCAAAGTGTTGGCTGGGCTAGCTTACCGAGAAACCGGGTGGGAAATTAAAATCGAGCTGCTTGATGTGGTCATTTATGTAACCCGAGTTGAGTTCAAGCTCGACTTTTGAGCTCGCCTCGAGCTCGAGCTCGATGTTTGACTCGCAAATCGAGCTCGAACACCTCCTGACTCAAATTTGACTCAACTCATTTACACCACTACTCAACGGGCTTGAAATTGAATAGTTAACAGCCCCAGTTACTAGTACTTAGAACTTGCTTTTTTGCTTCCACCATCCTTCAGCTCTAGCTCTCAGGTTGAACTGAATGCATGAAAAGCCATAAACTAATAAATTTCTATCATACTTTTTTACAATCTGTAGGTGGTAAACTACTCGGAGAAGAAGACATCTGCTGCGAAGTCATATCTCTCTGCCTTGTGTAGAATTGTTGTGCTTATTCAATTCCGATCAGAAGAGCAAGAAGCCATAAAATGCATGAGGGGCCTCATGCATGTCATGATTTCAGCAATATCATATGACAAGGATCTTGTCAAAGAACTGAATCTGATGGCCGCCCGACTCAGGTCTCTTGATCTGCAACCTGACCAGGAACTCCCACAAGATCATGCCGCTGCTATTTCTGGTAAATCTAAACCGAATAACTACACAATAGAAATTCATGAAATGTATAGAAATTTAGATATTTTTGAGCTTGCTTAAAACTCTAGAAATCATAGGGGGTGTTTGGTATCGGATTTAGCTGTAGTTTTAAGTAGGATTTAACGTAAATCCAGTTAAACGTATTTCACGCGTTTGTAAATCCCGTGATTTACGGATTTACGGCATAAATCCCGTTAAATCTCTGTAAATCCAAATCCCATCTTTTCTTGAATTTAACGAGATTTATGGGATTTGGCTGACTTCTTATCCGTCGGGAAGGGAAAGTCGTCGAAGGAGCGAAGTCGAATAGCCTTGAAGGAGCCATAGAATCGACACAGTGCAATCTATACAGCTCCTACGAAGCAACGAAGCCGAACAACAACGACGAAAAGAGAAGAGGAAAGGCAAACCCTACGGGCCTCTTAATTTATCACTGCTAACTTATTTAAAAATTTTAAAATAATAATAATTGAGTAAATTAATAGTATAATTAGTGCATAAAATAATTGTCTCATAACTTAATTGAATAATTAATGATATATTAGTAACTAAAAATAATATAATTAGCTTAATTAATAAAACTTAAAATATATATCACTAAATATGTAATTAATAATGTAAATAATAATAATTTGAACTTAATAATTTTGATAATTATACATTATAAATATCTAACTGTCATAAATTCTGAAATATATTGCAAAACATCATCTCAGAATTTAATATTTATCATATCAAACATTTTTCTGAATTTATCAGTCTAAGATTTACTAAATCCGAATTTACAGGATTTACTAAATAGTAAATACTACTAAATTAAATCCAATCCAATACCAAACACCCTTTAAAGAGAATGCCCATAACCTCAAGTATTGGGGAGCGCTGGAGCAATCTTGCTTTGTTGATTGTGGATGCATAATTTTCCTTGCATAGATTTGTGCTGATAGAAACTTCATTGACTGTTCTGTGATGACCAGAGAAGCTTGGGTTGGATGGAAATCTCAAATTTGATTCGTCGGTAATGCCGCCAGTAACACCGGCTCCGGTGTCCGCCAGGACCGCCCCAGTACGACGAAGGCCGCGGCGAGAAGCTTTGTTTGATGATGATGAAGACGACGACGACGACGAAGATGACGATGCTGCAGCTACTTTTGAGGTTCCGATCACTCCCAGTGTTGTGAACATACGCTCTCAGAGAGCGAGCAAGACCTTAGCAATGAGCAGGATGACTGCAAAAGCGAATATTCATTTCTCCGATGATGAATATGATGATCGAGATCGCTCTGTCTTGACATCAGAGGACGAGTCAGATGAAGGCACGGAGTAAATCGTTAAGTTTTTAGCCATTCAATCTATCTAAGCTTGATTTGTTTATGATTATAATACTAATTTTCTAGCGTTAAGTTCATGCTTCATTGTTTCTAGCTTTAGGTTTTGTTGGATGCAATTTTTTTTCTACTTTTTAAAATAATTTTTTACTATAAAAATTTTATATTTTAAAAATCAATAAAAAACTGTCTCAAATGAAGCTTTTGCCGAACGCTAAACTAGCGTTTGTCACCGCTAAGCTGCTCTTTTGGAATGCGAAAATCTGTGTCATGCTGACGACCTGAACATTGTTCACAAACTATATATTTAGATTTTTTTTGTTATAAAATGGAGTTCGGTTGAAGATATGTTATTGCCTTTTAAAATGTTAGTGAAAAATGAGTTTTTGGGTTTGAGATGCCCATGTTTACATTGATATAAGACATTCTCTCTCTCTCCATCCAAGTGCAATTCTCATGTTATTTCAAATATTTTTGAATTATATTACAAAATTATCTATAGATAAGAGTAAATGATTGCAGGGAAGAAGATATAAATTTGATTTATGTAGAATACATAAAATAATTAATTTTATATTTATTGAATTTATTTGAGATGAATTTAATATAAGTTTTAATTAATTATTTATGTAATATAGGTATTTTAAATTGAATTAATATTATAAAACACATCCTCATTCAAATCCTTAAGCAAATATTTACCGTGTTTATTTTCAACCCTGTACTAATTTCTCTTAATTTATTTTCGATGTTCGAATTTTGTTATCTTCATATTAATTATATTCTTTAATTATAAAATTATGCTTTTGTAGTATTTTTGGTCTCGCACCATGACAGTAATTTTTTAAAGATTTAGGATTTGTTTGGGATAATTTTGTTATTGTTCTTTAAAACAAAATTTAAACAAAAAATTAAGTTTTTAATTAAAACTCTATTTTAAGAAGTGTTGCAGATTGGAACATTCGTAGTGGTAGAGAGATAAAATTTAACATTTTAGTTTTCTATGAAAATCTAGCATACAGACATAAAGAGAATAAATGTGAGAGTCATAAGTTATACCAAGATTTTTACGTGAAAAACTCTAAAAAGGGAAAAAATCACGAGGGCTTGGCATAGTTGAAATAATTCTCCTAGTGTTTGCAGTCAATTACAAACAAGACCCTTTCTTGGGGGGAATGCTTTGATTTGATGTAGGGGTGTCAATTTCGTGCCACAGGTTGGGTACGGGTCGAACCCGAAACTAACCTGGTACTGCTCGAGTCAACCCAAACCATACACGTTTTTTTGTAAACGGGTCAGTTTTTGGGACTCGAATTTGACCCACTTCAGGTTCGGGTCAACCCGACCCAACACGAATTTGGCTGAAGAACATGCCAAATTAAAGAAGATATAGTGAGGCAACGAGCTCCCGTCGCTCCTTCCAATTCCGACAAGGCGGCGAGCTGTCCCGACTTCCTATTCGACAGGAAGGAAAGTCGTCGTAGGAGGCGATTAGGCTTAGGCGACGGGCCGACAACCTCGACAGCAGTAGCGACAACAGGCAATAACGGCGGCGGTGCGACAGCGGCGTACCTCACACGAAGCTGTGATGGCCTCAAAGGAGGCGAACTGGCAATTGCGACTCGACCTCTAACAGACTGAGCGATTGCGACTCAATGTGTCAAGTCATTTCGGGGGCAGGGTGGGCAATATATGTGGGCAGAACCATTTCCTTGTTATTTACGGTTCATTTTTGGGTTTCAGGGTCAACCCGAACTTGACCCGAAACTTAAATATGGTCAAATTTTTTAACTCGAACCCAACCTATTTGTTAACCGGGTCGACTTGAACCCGGAATTTTCGAAGTCTGGTTCAGGTCGTATTTTGGGTTGTTTCAAAATTTGACGCCCCTAATTTAATGTACCAAATATACATCATATAGAGTGATTTACACGATGGAAATTACAATAACAAATTTTGATATGTTCGTTTGGTTAGCGGGACCATATTTGGTTGGCGACAAAGGTCAGAAAAGACTGTAATTGACGGGCGATAAAGGTTGAGAAGATCATTGTCTAGCGATGAAGGTCAGAAGGACCATGATCGACAATTTACAAAGGTCTAAAGGATTGTAGTTGGCGGACGATTGAGGTCAGAAAGATTGTTGTTTGGTGACCAAGGTTGGAAGGACTGCAATCAGCAGGTTACGAAAGTCGGAAGGATCATAGTCGGTAGACGAAAAAGGTCAGAAAGTGTTTTTTGACGACAGAGGTCAGAAGGACAGTAGTCAGAGGGTGAAAAAGGTCGGAAAGATCGTAGTCAACGGGAAATGAAGGTCGGAAGGCGACGGAGGTCGAATAGATTTTTGTCTAGCAACAGAGGTCGGAAGGATCGTAGTCGATGGGCAAAGAAGGTCGGAAAGACCGTAGTCGGCGGGCGACGGAGGTTGAAAAAATCGTTCTATGGAAACGAAGGTCAGAAGAACATTTGTTGGTGGGCGACGAATGTCGAATGGACTGTAGTCAAAAGGTGACTAATGTTAAAAAGAACGTTTTTTAGCGACAGAGATCGAAAGGATCATAGTTAACAAGTAGTGGAGGTCGAAAGGATCGTTGTTTTGCGACGAAGGTTGGAAGGATAGTAGTCGGTGGGCGACGAAAGTCAGAAAGACTATTGACTAATGATAGAGATAAGAAGGACCATAGTGGGAGAGCGATGAAGGTCGGAATGATCATAGTCAACAGGCAACGGTAGTTAGAAAAACGCTTATCTGGCGATAGAGGTCGGAGGGATCGTTGTCTGTGGTCAACGATGGTCTTAGGGACCTGTCACGACCCAACTCGACCGGAACGAATCCCATCGCGTCGAGTCGCGATGGATGAATCCAGGATCTAGCTTTGGAATTTGGTTTCAGACTTTTTTTCAAATAATTATACAGAAAACACAGAGCTACTATTAAACTTCCAATATGAATAAATTCATTTAACATTTTCTTTCTTCTCATTTTTCAAAATAATCATGTACAATACAGTGCATGGTTATAAACAGAAAGAACAGAACAGAATAACAGAATAGCCATGACCGTACAAAAATCAAAAGTACAAAAATACATAATCTAAGATCAGACACAGAATGGCTAGTCCAACACCTCCTTCCCTTTCCCATAACCTGAAAACCACGCAAACAACAAGGATGAGCTAACAGCTCAGGAAGACTATACTAGCCAATCAAAATCTCCATAAACTCTCAACAAAATCATCAGAACAGAAATCAAACAGAATACTTATATTCGTTCAGAATAAATGAAGTAATATAAACAAAAGAACTGAATCGAATTTACCTCGCAAAATTATTCAAATCAGAATTCAATCAAAGTTCAGAACAGATTTCAGAAAACATTCAAATCATATTTCATCACAGATTTTCCTGACTCAGATAGAATCTCAAAGGATTCTGGCCCTTATGCCTCTCTTCCTTGACACAGACAGAATCTCAATGGATTTTGGGCCCTTATGCCTCCCTTTGTGCTTACAGCACCAAAATATACCAGATATACAGAATTATCAGATCATAATTCATTTTCCTATTCCCGGACCCAAACAGAATCTCAACAGATTCTGCCCCCTTATGCCTCCCTTCCCTGACACAGACTGAATCTCAAAGGATTCCGGCCTCTTATAACTCCCTTCTGATATCATTTAAATCACATCAAACATCAAATCACATCAGATTCAGAGAAATCAGATTCGTATTAGAATATTGTCGGAGAGTATAACGCCAGACAACATAAATTCAACAGATCAAAATCACAGTTTTAGAAAATTACTAAATTACTACAGATAGTGTAAAACATCATTTTAAGACTTTCATTGTACTGAAGCAATATTTTCCAACATCCAGATAATTTTCTATTCGGTAAAAACTCCGCAGAATTCAAACTACCTGGTGAAAACTTTTCAGAAAATACTCAAAACGTGCAAAAACATCATCTCTACAACATACCAAAAGTTACGCGATAAAAGTTTCGTCGATACTAAAATGGGTCACTTTTAGGCTAACGGAAACCAAAATCGAAACAAGAAATCCGTCAAAAATCACATTTCTGAAAATTGAGAAAGGCATAATGTGCCTTACCTCGAGTAGATCAACTTTCCCAACTACGACGACTGATGAAAATGAACCAAAGTCGCCCAAAATCCACTTTTTCTTCCTCTTTCTCCATTTTTCTCTCTCCTCAGCTTCCTCTCTCTTAAAAAATGACACTGTTCAGATATTTATCAAACAGGATCATCCAGGACGATGGCCCAGATC